ATCGGCATAAATTACGCTATGCAATACAAAACTACATTTATACAATTCTACAAAACACGAATAAACATTGAATAATCACTTCCAAAACTACAAAGGCTTTATATTGTAATGACAAGAATTGATTTAAATTTCACACAGCATCAACGTACTGCTGTTGCTTAACTAAACCACTTATACATTTTATATAAAACATTAATAAGCTAAATATTAATTTGTAATTCTACTAGAGATAAAGCCAAATATTAAAAACTCACACTTATATAATCATAATTATGCAATATCTGGAGGGAATCGGAACTATTAATAATAATAAGCACTGAAGTTATGCGACGAAGGAATTGGACTAACAGTGCCGGTGGCCTGTTGCTAGCGAAACCTCCTCACTTCTTCCGATAAAGCGGATAGGTCTGCTTGCAGCCTGATCTCTCTCTCTCTATTAAGAATTATATTTTGCTCCGCCAAGCAGTATTTGCCACAGCAGGTTCATCCCGTCGCTCCCAAGGCGGCACACCTTCTACTTTTGTAATTTGGCGTCCCCACCGTGCGCCGTGGCTGCGATCTCGCCCCGCACCGTGCTCGCTTCCGCTGACGACATCAACTCGAGTCCCGTGTTTCTAGCCAGGTACACAGAATTTGTCACCTGACGGGTCGTTGAGTAATCTCACATTGTGAATTTGGGCGTTCTTAACAATGTCTATAAACCTGGCTCATTTTCGGCGTTCCCTTCGGCTGCGATGAAACTATTACATGTTCTATTCCTACTCCCGTACCAATAAACTCTAAAGTTTTGCATTTCAACTCCTCGCATTATCCATCACCCGGGATAAGCATAGGCGGGACTTTCACCTCCTCGATTTCCCAAAATTTGCGAGACAATAATTCGGGAGGTTCAAAAACGGTGCAACAATGAGATGTTGCCGAAATATTATAAACCGTTGGAGCGGCACCAACAATAACATAACCTAAAACGGTTTCTAATGCGTAAGGCGCGATACACGAGGAGTTACTCTTGACCTTGTTATATAACAAGAGGTAAGGGAAAATAGATGTCCCAATGAGCATATCCCCAGGGACGGAATGAGTGTCACCCGCTAAAGCCAAATTATCGAAATTAGTCATTGCGGAGGCGTCGACCGAAACGGTAGGCAGACGCTCAGTCACTTTATCTATTATTAATGGATTTATATTAAAATTAATACTGCGATAAAAACAAGAATAAAATTTTAAGTTTAGCGAACCTTGGACCGTTTATTTGAAGCCTGTTTTTATATGATAGGGTGACAAACGAGCACACAGTCCAACCGAAGGCATGCGGTGAATAGAAGCAATGAATAGAAGACATACATAGTAGATACATAGAAATAAGATTGGTCACATCTTAGAAAACAGAAATCGTTCGAAAGTAAACGGTATTGTTCGTTGAACGCTACAATTGCGCATGAGGCATTGTTCGACTGTAGGTAGTTCCGATACCACAAGTTCGTAGAAAACTGTTCGTCCTTATTTTCGCTATTGATTTAAACTAGGACTATATTGTTCTAAAAAGAAACAGAAAGAAAACACTACCTTATAGTCCAGGATCCATCGCCCATTTTTGCACGTGATTACTATCAAGCTAATTTTCCGTCAGTAGCTTTATTTTGATGAGACGCCCAATAATTTCCTGTACGAAACTCTCGATTGTGGTAGCTAACAGAAGTAGCAAGGATAAAATATGTTGATTTGATGATTCTCAAATATTTATTACTAACTGAATTTTTTTGTTAAATCTCAAGATAATTATCTAAATTATTCGAAAAAATATTTGTCCTATAAAATCTATGGTTTGATCAAAGAGTCCCCTCTATCCAATATGTATCGATAACGAGGTCATCATAAATGATTACTAACCAGCTGATTTTTTTTTGTTTTTACTTAGTTAATATTTATATAATTTAACAGACACATTGTCCTACAAATTGCGTGGTACGTTATCCTGGTCCTACGCTCAGAAGTTGTTAATACCACAAGACCATTTTTTTCATTACTAACTGTAGGACAAAAATATTACATGATAGGTTAGTGTGTTCTCTGCCCAAATGAAACATCATCCTACAAGAAAACAGGTATGTATTATTAGTCCGACAAGAATTGTCATTTTTTCGTTTTTCTATCTGTAAAATAAGATAAAGTGAAAAAAGCTTTTTTAAAATTTAAATAACTTTATTTTTTAATAAACTTGGTACAAAAATTTATGTATTTATATATATAAAAAAAAATATATATATATATATATATATATATATATATATATATATATAAAAAGAAGTTCATCTTCATCAGATTCATCTGATAAACCTTCGCTACTAACATCGCTGTCATCTTCTATTTCACTTTCCTCACTCGTAATATCTGACTCTGTAATAACATGAAAAAATTAAGTAAATTATATAATACAAATAAATTATATAACTAACAAATAAAAAAATATTTAATTAACTAACCGTGAAGTGCATGGCAATGGGTCCAGTTCTACATTGAGACGCTGATGATGTTGAAGCTGGCTCAGTGCTGTGTATGAGAAATTATTTAAAAAAAATTAAAAATTGTTTATTTGAGAACCACGCAAATAAATACAGTATCTACATAAATATCACATAGCATCATCGATATTAAAAAAAATTATTTCATATTAAATTAATATTTAGTCAAATAGTTATACAAAAATATAAATTTAAATGACAAAAAATTAAATAAGAAAATTTGTAAAATATAATATAAGTACTATCAAAAATTATTGTTTAAAGAATTTAACAATAATACAATGCTACAATAAAATGTTACAATTAGCTCGATTTTACATAATTACGTAAAAATATGAACTTAGTAAATTATTTTTCAATAATTTTAAAAATAAAGTAAATAAATATTCGATCGACTTACCTTTCATAAGACACCTTTCTCTCTTTTCTCTCGAAAAGTAAAACAGTAAAGACTTTTTTCTCTTTTCTCTCGAAAAGTAGGGTTTTCACAAAACAAATTACACAAAAAACACTCCATAATTATTTTCCAGCACAAAAAACATTTCTTGAAATAATTTCTCAAGACAAAATAAAACACGTGGTCGACTGAGAAAATGTTTGCAGGCTTATGGTCGACACTAACGTGGGATACCTAATACGGAGTAAGCAATGCTCTGCGCATGCGTACCGCCGTACCGGTGTGACTCAGCTGTAGTAGCAAAATACAGAAACCCAAGCGACACAAATTTTTTTACTACCTCTGTTAAAACAACTACCACAATTGAGAATTTTCGCATAGGAAATTGTTGGGCGACTCATCGAAACGAAGCTATTCACGAAGATTCAGCTTGATAGTAATTATTTTTACATCAAGGATCTGTACTACTACTTTTGAGCGTAGGACTGGGATAACGTACCACGCAATTTGTAGGACAATGTGTCTGTTAAATTATATAAATATTACCTAAGTAAAAACAAAAAAAAAACCAGCTGGTTAGTAATCATTTATGGTGACCTCGTTATCGATACATATTGGATAGAGGGGACTCTTTGATCAAACCATAGATTTTGTAGGACAAATATCTTTTCGAATAATTTAGATAATTATCTTGAGATTTAACAAAAAAAAAAATCAGTCAGTAATAAATATTTGAGAATCATCAAATCAACATATTTTATCCTTGCTACTTCTGTTAGCTACCACAATCGAGAGTTTCGTACAGGAAATTATTGGGCGTCTCATCAAAATAAAGCTACTGACGGAAAATTAGCTTGATAGTAATCACGTGCAAAAATGGGCGATGGATCCTGGACTATTAACACAATTTTGACTAAATTACCAATGTAATATGTTAGCACATCCTCGTTATTTGCACCTTTATGCAAGCAACAAGTAGACATCCCTATGACTTATGTAGGTCAAGCACATGTAGATTCGGTCGTCGTATGTGGTTACTTATTCTCTGAAACCGAAGGCTTCATAATAGCAATACAGGATCAATCTTTAATTATAAGGATCTTTAATTATATATTTTTGAATATTTTTCGTATTAACGACTTGATCCTGTAATAATAATAATAATGTCCTCCAGACCGAATTTTCGGTCACGGCGGCATGCCTCAACGGAGGCTAGCCATCGACGCAAGACAGGATTATAGTGCCCAAGTGTATGCGCAAGTACAGGTGCACTCTCTATTCCCTCACTCTCATAATCCGATGGGACGGTAAGCCGACACAACCGGAGAGAGATCAGGCGCAGGACCAACGGCTTTACGTGCTTTCCGAGGCACGGGGGTGAGACACTGGCAACTTCCTGACTCCGGGCAACTACTGAGAATTTATTGACGGAAAAACTCAATAATAAATTTTTTGGCTCGAACCGGGATTCGAACCCTGGACCTCATGATCAGCAGTCGCACTACTACAACCACTAGACCAACGAGGCAAAATATAATATATTCAATAAAAATATACATAGCAAAAATATTCATCAAAATCGGTAAACAGTTTACGAAGATATCACGTAATATACCATAAAAACGCAGAGTAAAAAGCCAAACTACTTTTATGGATTTGGAATAAAATTAATTTTACGGATTTTTATCTCATTTAATTTTAACTAGGTTGTTTTATTCTACTCCTTTTCAGCAGATTTCAAAGGAGGTGGAGACTTACAATTCCACAGTAGTTTTTTTTTGAAGTCAGCATAAAAAAAACAAAAAGGGGAATCATACTTTTCTACAAGCAGTGGTGTTGAGAAGTTATGACTATTCGCATAACATGAGATACTCAGTTGAAACTACCTTAACCCCTTCAGACCCAGCGTCCATTTCAATGGACACGTTTAATATTGCATGAAATATGAGGTAGATTAATAAAAACGCTAGTGTAAACATTTGATTGTACCGACCACTTACATAGAAACGTTACTATAAACAAAACACCAAAGGATTTATTGTAGTTAGGATGAAATAATTAGTCAAGTGTTGACGTTCGCCATGGATACGCGCAATGCGAGTAAGTCTTTAGTGTTATTTTATTTACTCCAAAACGATTCGATCGATTGTTTAGATATTTTTTATTCTGCATAGTGATCATATTAGCTAAGATATACATTTTTAAAAAATACTAAATATGCGGTTGTTTTCATAATTTTGAAGATAAAGTCGATGTCCATTTCAGTGGACATGGGGTCACAATCGTTGTAAACCAAACATATTTACAAAAAAACTTTGTATTGAATTTTACGTGTTATTTTTATTCCTTTTTAGGTTTTGATCTATCTAGAAGTCAAGATATGGATAATTTACTCAATTTATTAGAAAACGGAACAATATCGGGTCTCGAAAAAGAGAGTGACGATGAAATTGTACAGGCAATACCACAAAAAAATGTTCGTGTAGGTAGTAACATAACGCTACCAACCGAAAGAGAGATAGGTAATCACTCTGAAGAGGAGGACGATATAGTAGAGGAAGAAGACTTAGAGAAGGTAGAATCTTGACCCGGATCAAGCAGTAAGCCTAAAAATGAAATAATTTGGAGAAAACATTTACAGCTTGAACCACCACAATTCATTTGGTCAGCGCCACCACCATCTGAAATTGATTCACCTAGCGTTCCCATTGATTATTTTTCTAAATATATATCAGAGTCTCTAATTGAAGATTTTACATTCAATACAAATTTGTATGTGGTGAGAAATGAAGTCCGTAATTTCAAGCCATGTACTTCAACAGAAATGAAAATATTTTTCGGCCTTCATATCATAATGGGTACCCTAAAGTTTCCTCGTATTCGTTTGTATTGGGATTCCGGTTTAGATATGAAAATATTTTAGAGAACATGGCCAGAGATAGATTTCTTCAGATGAGAAACAATTTGCATGTAATTGATAACAATTCTATTCCACAAAATAACACCGATCGTTTTATCAAAGTTCGACCTTTATATGATTCAGTTAGAAAACGATGTCTAGAACTAAAATTAGAGCAAATATTGAGCGTTGATGAACAGATTGTACCTTTTCGAGGAAAACTTGAAGTCAAACAATATGTCAAAGGAAAACCACAGCCATGGGGTGTAAAGATATTTATGATTTGCGGTAAGAGTGGATTAGTTTATGATTTTATTATTTATCAAGGCGCAACTACAAATCTAGACAAAAATGACGTTTTGAAATATGGCACATCTGCTGCTTATGTAAATGCCTTGTCAATGAGAATAAATAGGTCTGGTCATTACCTCTTCTTTGATAATTATTTCTCCAATTACGTTTTGCTGAAGGATCTTCGCGAGAGGGAAATTTATGCAGGAGGAACGATCAGAATAAATCGTTTTGGAAAACCGCCACTCATAACTGACAAGGAAGGATCAAAAAAAGATAGGGGATATACTGATCAAGTTACGAATAATACTAAAGATGTGGTTGTTATCAAGTGGATTGACAACAAAGGTGTAGTACTTGCTTCAAATTTTGTTGGAATAGGAAATCAAGATGAAGTTCGACGATGGAATAAAATATCTAAAAATTACGTAACTATACCGCGTCCTGAACTTGTGCAATTATATAACAATGGTATGGGCGGTGTAGATAAAACTGATCATCTGATTAGTTTGTATCGAATCTTCATTAGATCCAAAAAATGGACATTGCGTATGATATTTCACGCCATTGACCTAGCACTAACCAATAGCTGGCTGGAATACCAAGAAGATTGCAAAATCTGTAATATACCAAGTACAGACGTTTTGGATTTGTTGCACTTTCGGCAGCGCGTTGCAGAAGCTCTAATAAAAATGGGGCATCCAATTCCTAGCAGAAAAAGAGGACGGCCCGCATCTGGTGGTAGCAGTCCAGTAAATTCACCAGTTACACCAAAACAACACCGTTTCAGGACTGAAATAAGACCAGCGAGCGAAATCCAGTATGACACTGTCGACCATTTGCCAGAATATGATCAAAAGAAAGAAGCTACAAGATGTAAAAATCCAGGATGTAAAGGAAAGACGCATGTTTACTGTCTGAAATGTGTAATACATCTGTGTTTTACTGGTGAGCGAAATTGCTTTCGAAAATTTCATCAAAAACAAGAATAATCCTAACAGTGTAAAATGTTAAATAAAAAATAAACTATTATAATAATATTACATAGTCTTACTGACTTACTTCAAAATATTACTACAAAACATTTATTCATTAAATATGTATTAATACAACCCTCTAAACCTGATGTCCACTTGAGTGGACATAAAAATTTCCGAAAATCTGAAAACGATAAATCGCATATTTTTACAAAAATCCCTTAATTACACTTCTAACTCACAGAAAAACTTTAACAATATTTTTATTGATGCTTTATATAAATTCAGGTCCGAAGGGGTTAAGTTCGCACAGCATTTACGGAGGGGAATCGAGCGCTGAGAGAGCACGCCTTCTTAATCATACCTCGATTCGCGGACCGTTAGGGTAAGATTTAGTAGCTCTAACCGTGCGTTTGCACTGACGCGATTTTCACAAAAAAACATGTTTTAAACACCGTTTTCTGTCAATGTATCAAAAAGCGTTTGCATAGCCAAGGAACATGTTTTAGTGAAATGTGTTTGACAGTTTATTGTACATTACATATTATAACTATATTATATCTATATATCTGCAGAAACAAAATGTTTGAAAACAAATTTGTAGAAATATTGTTATGTTGAAAGATAAGTTTGACGTTTTGTATTTGTAGACGCTTTTTAATCGAGACAGAGAATTTTCAACAATAATGGGTTCAAGTGATGAAGAGGTGAATAATGGATTCAAGTGATGAGTGTACTGTACATTTACAACAAAAAAGAAAGAAATCGAGGTTCTGGACGCGCTTGCAATGTGTTTGACAGTGATTCGCAGTGGAATACGGGATAGAGACTAAAAACTGTGCTGCATGACGAATAAAGAAAATTAAAGAAAGTGATACATAAGAAAATTCTACCAATTGCATAATCACATTAAAACCTTAAAAGGCAAAATTGTATTAAGTGTTTAACTAATGAAAATACAGCAAGTAAATTATCCAAGAAAATAACATCAACATTTGCGCTGTAATTACAAGTTCAAATAAGAAATTGAAAGAAAAAGCTACATGACACATGAAAATCATAGCCTTGTGGCTTTATAAAAGGTCACCCACTTGTTGCAGGCTACTCAAGCTCTATTAAAGGGTTAACTGAGTACTCTTTACTATTGAAATCAGTCAACTAGTTTTTAAGGCCTGGCAAATTTTTTAAATACTATAAAACCATCAGACAACCAATTTATATTGATATTTGATGAAATGTCTTTAAAAAAATGTGATGTATAATCCAAAAGAAGATTTGATTGAAGTGTATTAGGATCATAGTACACAAGGAACATCTTCAGTCGTTGCATCATAACTGCTGCAAATCAACTTACTGTACTAATAAAAGAGGTAATTATTAGTACTTTGTATGATTTTTCATTTCATTACAACAGTTGAAATTAAAGTTGATTATAAAAGCTCAACAGTTGTAAAACATATTTAATTTTTGATTTCAGGTCTTGAATCAGTTATAGCTGGCATAACTTCCAGGCTCAGGCTGGGATGAATATATCTGCAGGAGTCTGTGACATGGACGGAGTAAATTTACAAGTTCTCTCTATCTTGAGTGCAAATGTGAAACAACTATATTTTGCATTCCATAACAAAGAGATAGTGACCCTTTGATACGCCATATTTATTACATAAGGGATCTTGCAATGGGGTTAATGCATTTCACATTGAAATAACTTTGTTTTGCAGAAGAGAGCCATGAAAGCACTTTACAACCTAAGTCCAAAAGAGTCTTTTCAAGAAAGTTTTTTAGAAGTAAATATATTAACTAAAGCGTTTTAGTAATTTTACGAAAATTTAATGTATGTTATTTATTAATTTTTGTTTTTTTGTTTTTGTTAATTTAATGTACACAAAAACAACAATAGTTTTTATTAAAAATAGTAATGTATATTTCTGTAAATACTAGGAACAAGTACAAGCTAGTTATATCAGTTATTCCACTTCAAAGAATAAGTTTTCCTTCGTGGGGCAAAGTATATGCTTTTATAACAAGTCATAAAATATACAGCCTATCAAAAACTGAAAATTTTTAACTAAGCAAGGTTGTTCAAAAAAAGGTTATTACAATAAAATATACGATTGATAAACCCCTGGGAATGGGGTGATTAATGTTGTTTCTAAATGTTTTAATATTTAATTGTAAAACAATATATTCTAAATAACATTTTGTTTAAATGGCCCGCTTGGACTTCTTGCTTGTTTTCTACATAGGACAGAGGCTTTTCCCAAACGAGTAAAAGCATTAATTACTTTATGAGTTTTGTAATCAAGTATTCTTTAATAAGTTTTGTAGTTTTGAATAAAATGTATTCTGTTTACGTCGTAACTGCAAGCATATAATATAGAGACAAAATTTTAAGGTTAATTTTAAATCAGGGAAATAAATAGACAACCAATTATTATCAAAATGAAATTATTATTTGCTGGTTTTACTCTGGTCTTGTGTACATGAGCTTATTTATTATTTAACTTGTTTTTGATTCAAATATTGCTATCTTGGGTATTGTAGACACACTAGGGTTTTTAATTGTGCATGTTATTATCAATACATTCATAATTGTAAATCTTCTATATTATTTTATCCTTTTTTACATAGGTAATTGAAATATTGTAATCAGTATTGATTTTTATTTTCCTTTTTTTAACTCATCTAATGACTTAATAGACAGAACTAATTTTGCTAAAGAAATTTTGTCTCCCTTTAGTAGTGTTCTAGTATTATGCAAGTTTGAGAAATGTAATTCTGTACCTTAGAATCACCTGCTATTGTATGCTACTGTATACATATACTAGTCGCCGCGGCGATGTCGGATGCATGGCTGTCACATTCCGTCTGGACTGTAATACTAAGCCTACAAGACCCAACATTGTAGGCTTAGTATAACAATCTTTATAACACCCTTTGGGTTCAGACTAATAAAATGATAAATATTGTTGCCATTATATACATATTATATTATATTTTTCAGAGTAATCAAATTCGAAACTTAAGCTTAAATTCATAAATAATGATACAATGTTATTGCAGTTTTTGAAAATATCGGTAAATAAGCTTCTTTTATTTGCAACTATCCCAAATTAAATCCGATTTATGGGCAACAACGTTTTTGCCTACTGATCGACTAACATGTTTCAAATATAAGCAAGCTCTAACTAAGTTAAGTTAGTTAAGTTTTTAACTAAGTTAAGAAACTGTAAAATTATTAAATATAGATAGTTAAAAATGCAAACTGTTAAGCAAAATAACAACACCCACTCACTACTTCTTTCACACACACACACACTCACACTCATATACTACACACTGGCATCTACATATTAATTTTACACTTACTTCTAAACTTGTAATATTGGTTTGTGTTTAACAAATCTCCAATATTAAATGAACATTTTGCATATTATATTTTATTGTTTTAAGAAAATGAAATATTAACTGAGTCACTAAGTTTCAATTATTTTTATGTGAAATATAGAATAAGTTCTTGTAAACATTTACTATAACATTTGAATATTAATATAAGTGTGTGACACATTTATAGAATATCTCCCCTGCCTTACTCTTGTACCATACAACTAAACATTTAGCTATAATAGTACTGAGCCATTTGTCGAATTAGAACTTTTATTCATTTCTTGATTGTGGTAAAATTGTTTTTATGTTTTTGTTTTTCTATTTAGTATGTATTTAATGGGGAGGGCTTAGCAGCTGTAACACAGGTCTGTGACCTAGCACGGTTGCTAAAGATACCTTAATATACTATTGAGTTAGATTTACGTCTTATCAATGTAATTTTATAAGTTTATGTTTTTATGTAAAGTATGTTTGGATTCAATAAATATTATTATTATTATGTGGGGTATCTATATAGTTTTCTCATCTGGATGGGTTCTATATATATAAATGAAAATGAAAAGATAAATATACATAAATATCAGTAAAATAAAATAAATACAATAATACGGTCATTTTCGAGCACGATTTCCGGTAAGTACTTATAAAGCAGTTTCCGATCCACGAGACCATATTTCAGAGCGAGCTCCTGGTGTAGAATTCTGGCTACTAGGTTGTGCCTGTGTAAGTACTTTGACATGCCTAAGTGACTCACCGGGATGGCGACAAGCTTATTATTAACGAATGTTTGCGTGTGCAGTAAAATCACTTACTATGCATTACTGCGCATTTTGAATTTAAGAGATAAAAAGGATACACAGTTTGAGATTTTTTAAAATTGATTTGTCTTTAACGGCCTATATTAGTTATCTTGAACCTTCTCTGCAAATTTGACCGGTTATCACAAAATAACCCTGTATATCTCCAAGGAAACACAGATTATTAGAACCTAAACTATGGTAAGCTTTGTAAAATTTTGAGAGAAAGGTGGTACATGCTTTCATATTTCTTTCTCATATATATAATTAGTACAACATGTGGAACAAAAATTTCTTGTCACTTAAAACACATTATGAAGATGGCAGTGACAAACTAAATTATTTGATAAACAGTTTTCTACGTTTCTTTTTTTAAGTTATGTATTTTAATTGAATAAATATTTAGAAATTTGTATTGTAAGCTCTGGGACAGGCAACCTAAAAAAATACCCCAAAAAAAAAAGACTTAATTTTTTCCGCCACACGAGAGAATTGCAGATAATCTGATTAATGATAAAGATGGAATTTGTGGAGATATATACCACATTTAATAATTTCACTCAATAGTGCCTCTCAATGGACAGGTCTTAAGATGAACATGGACAAAACAAATATCATGTTTAATGTCCGTGTCCCACCTATGCTGGTAGTTGTTGGGAGCACTAAGCTCGAAGTTGTTGACGAGTATGTTTACCTGGGACAAATAGTCCGACTGGGTAAGTCCAACTTCGACCGAGAGGTCAATTGACGAATTCAACTCGGCTGGGCAGCGTTCGGGAAATTACGACGCATCTTCTCGTCAGGTATACCTCAAAACCTGAAAACTAAATT